CTCTATTGAGTCACAGTGAGATGCACAAAGTTGTTCATGATTGAATTTCAGTCATACAATCTTCCGGCATCAGTCCCTTCAACTAGTATACATTTCCCACCATCAATGTGCCCAGTTTCCCTCCCGCCACCCCTGCCCCCTGTCACAGGAGGATATGTATGTCCTGCCAGCCCAGGAGAGAGGGATCTCTGAGTTCCTGACGCCCTGAGTTCCTGGCAGTCCCTGGTGCAGGCAGTTAGATGAGCTTTCAAGGTCACAGTGGCTTGGAAGCCACGACCCTTCCCACAGAGGGAGTGACGGGAGGCAGAAGGGACCACAGAGAGCGCAGGGCTTTCAGAACCAGACAGAATTGCTCCACACCCTCCTTATCCTTTTCTTCTTGGAGCTCAATATTTTAAGCTGGCTACAGTAGGATAACCCCTGCTGGCAGAGCCACGGATGAAAGAAGATGAAACATGACAAGGGCTTGGGTGCGGCTGGACGCGCCTTCCAGCTCAGCACCTGAACATGGACTTCTGGCAGGTGTCCATGTAAAGGAGAGGGTCCACGGGGTCAAGTTGCCTCAGTGTCTGTTGGATTGTTTTCAGAGTCCTTTCTCTGCCCAGGACCCTCCTGAGACCCTCTTGAGTCTTTCTCTGAATTGTCCCATCTTAAGATGCAGTCCACCTGCACAGAACTTACTCTCTCCTTCCTTCCTTCCTTCCTTCCTTCCTTCCTTCCTTCCTTCCTTCCTTCCTTTCTTCCTTCCTTCCTTCTCCTTGCCTCCCTCTCCTTCCTTCCTTCCTTCCTTCCTTCCTTCCTTCCTTCCTTCCTTCCTTTCTTCCTTCTCCTTGCCTCCCTCTCCTTCCTTCTTTCCTTCCTTCCTTCCTTCCTTCCTTCCTTCCTTCCTTCCTTCCTCCCTCCCTCCCTCCCTCCCTCCCTCCCTCCCTTCCTCGCTCCCTCCCTCTCTCTTTCCATCGCAGGCATTTCATAATAGAAAATGCCTCCCTCTCTCTCTCTCTTTCTTTCTTTCTTTCTTTCTTTCTTTCTTTCTTTCTTTCTTTCTTTCAAGTTTGGTTCATACCCATTGATGCTCTCTCTTTCTTTCTTCCTTTCTTTCTTTCTTTCTTTCTTTCTTTCTTTCTTTCTTTCTTTCTTTCAAATTTGGGTCATACCCATTGATGCTCAGAGCTTACTCCTGCCTCTACACTCAGTAATTGCTTCTAGTGGGGCTCGGGGTCCATATGGGATGCCAGGGATCAAATCCAAGTTGGCCCTGCGCAAGGCAAGTGCACCCCCACTCCCATCCCAAGCTATCTCTCTGGCCCCCAACAAGAAGGGAAATTTGATCCACACTTTTCCTTTTCTTTCTTTTCTCTTTGGGTCACACCCAGCGATGCTCAGGGGTTAGTCCTGGCTCTGCACTCAGGAGTTACTCCTGGAAGTGCTTGGGGAACCATATGAGATACTGGGGATCGAACCCGGGTTGGCCGCTTATAAGGCAAACGCCCTCCCCTCTGTGCTATCGCTCCAGCCTGATCCATACTTTTCTAGACAGACTCTCACTGTCCTTGGCCGGTCTTAGTACACACCAAGGAGGCTGAGCTCTAAGAACAGAGATTCAGGACCTAGCACAAGACCTAGCACCAGACAGGAGGGTTGGCTTCTCAGCACCTGCCTTGCAGGCTCACACATTAATGTCCAGGGACTCCAGGAGAACTGATAGAACCCCATCACCTGGGACCTGGTGGCTCACGGAGAGTGACTGTCTAGAGTCCAGGGAGCTGGGACTCGCCAAGGCTTGCTGAACAAGTTGTGCAAAGATCCAGGAAGGAAGGAATTTATAGCTGGGCAGAGCCTCCGCGAGCTCAGAGGTGCGCTTAAGAAGGGAACAGACTGGAGGACAGAATCAGTCTCCGGGGGAGTTTGTGGGAAACATGGGCCCAAGAACCATCCCTGGACTGTGCTCAAGAAACCCAAGGGTCAGTTGGCATCCAGGAAACAGCACCGGTGAGAAACGGGCAGTCCGACGGGGAAGACAGGAGGCTTCCATTGAGGTCCAAAGCTCATGCCTGGGGCAAGAAGGAGCAGAGTCCCGTGACAATTCCCAGTTCCCCTCATCCATACAGGAAAAGCACGCCTGGTCCCTACAGGAAAAGCACGCCTGCCCTCCTGAGAGATGGTACAAAGGTGAAGGCACTTGCCCAGCTGCAGCTATAGCTGTGACCCTGGTTCGAATCCCAGCACCGCCAGGCATGGCCCCCGAGTGCTGCTGGGTGTGTCCCCCAAACCAAAGGAAAATAGTCAGAATTCACCCAAGCATCCATTGTGCAGGTTCATTTGGTCCAACTGGAGACTGCACGGCCCAGTCTGCACCTAAGTGTAGGCTAGTGGACCTGTATGGGAAGACACAGACCAGCCATGAATGCGGTCAGAGGGGCTGTGTGCCCTCCACTTCCTTTCCTGCTCTTCTTCCAGGCAGGAGCCAGAGCGGAGGTGAGGCTGAGTTAGCTTTGACTGTGCAGAAGAAGGAATAGCATGTAGAACTGCACAATGGAGGGATTCTGGGTCCCTGAACGCCACCCGGGGTGCACAGTACTCAGCACCCTCCCCTACGCTAACTGGAGGAAGAAAAATGCAGTTCTGTCTCTTTGGAGCTAAGGGACTTTGGGTTGATACTACAAGGCAGCCTGAACTCAAAGAGTGTGTTTCTGAGGTATGGCCAGAAATGCTTTCTGCACTGCCCACACAGTTGCCTGGGACGGCCCGGGTGCAGGCAGTGTCCTAACCACTTCACATGGGTTAGCTCCTCCTGCTCGCTCCAGCTCCACTTGGGTGAGTGCCATGATCCCCATTTCGAGAACAGGAGGCACTTCAGTGCCTCAGCTTAATGGCTTTTTGGGGGGCCGGAGTGACAGTACAGTGTACTATAAGGTGCTTGCCTGGCATGTGGCTGACCTAGGTTCAATCCCCGGCATTGCATAAGGTCCCTTGAACCTGACCATGAGTTGATTCCTGAGTGCAGGGCTAGGAGTAAGCACTGCCCGGTGTGGACCCCCAAAAACAAAGCCAAGCAAACCCAGTGATGATGATGATAGTGATGATGATGAAGGCGCCCAGGAGGGAGCCACCTTACATAGCCAAACAGAATCCCCGAAAAACATGTGCCCTCACTCTGCTTTCCAAAGTGCTGATTTATGAGTTTTCACAACACCAATATAGAATTATTAGTTGTGCCTCAGTTGCACTGTTGTAGGAGGGACTCAATAAACCCTAAGCTCCCTGTGGAAGTAACAAAGACCAGTGTTATCCAACACTGGTTCTATTTTGGTGTGTGTGGTGTTAGGGGAGTCTTCCCATCAGACCTGGACGTCTCCAGGACTTCACCCAGAGGTGGTCAGAAAACCATACATATTGGGGATTAAACTCTAAGCCTTCTGCGTGCCAGGCATGCAAGTCAGCCCTGTGAGACCCCTCCCTGGCCCACCTCTTGACTATTTCATCTGTCAAGAGGACACACCCTGGTGCCCCAAGGCTCCCATGAGATCCTGAGATGCCGGGGAATTTCTCCTAGAGCACCCGGGAGAGAAACCCAGAATGCTGTCTTCATCACTGGGAGGATCAAAGGAATTGGTGTGTATTGCTTTCAAAGAAATGCTTTGAAAGCTATCAAGTGTGGAAGAAATAAAAGACTGGAAAATCGCATTTTCTACCATGCAAACACTTTCTAGTGATTTGGTAGACGGCCTTGGAAGGCCATGCAATCTGCCTCAGAGGGAGATGGTGTGCTGGGGTGGGCGCATGGGTCGTCCTCACCCTTCCTGCAAGAGGGAGAGGGTGGCAGAAAGTCACAGAAAGAGCAGAGCGTGTGCCCACGATGCTACCACCGTACGCACAGTTGTGCACACGCGGACATGCTCTACAGAAGACGATTGGGAGTCCCCAGACCAGGCTCAGCGGGCAACAACATCAGGGGGAACCAGGCGGGTAGAAAGCTGGGGCATAGGGTGCGGTCAGGGTGAGCAAGCGGGCACTAGGGTGCCCAGCTTCCTCCCCCCCCACAAGTCCCTGCGGCTGCCTGAACCAAGGTGACTTTCAGAGTCCCAAGTGACATCCTCTTTCCCTCTAGATGCTCAGATTCCAGGAGAAATAGGTCAGGGGCCACCGGTGCTCTCCTGAGATCAGTCCCGAGACTCAGTGCCCGGCTGACCGGACTCATGTGCTGTAATAAACAGCCACATGTCTCCACCGCTGTGCCTGGAGTCTCTTGCCCTGTCACCCTCCTCCTCCTCCTTCCTCCCTGACCTCACCCTCTGGGTCCTCTGCTGTGTCCTACCGCCTGAACCCCTGACCCTTGAATCCCCTTCCCTTCTCTGCCCGCACCCCGCCCAGCACCCAGCACACAGCCTCCTGGCACACAGAGTAATTCTTTTTTTTTTGGTGTGCAGATTTTATGACACGAGGCTCAGTGAGCCAGGGTGCAGGGGGCGGATTGGACAGCCAAGGGGCACGCTAGCACGGAGACACCCCGAGATCTTTAGTGTTCGACTGTCTCTGCAGTCTGCCAGTGGGCACCCGGCTTGGGAACAGTCGGCCCAGAGGACCTGAAGCCTGAGGGATCCCCTCCTTGCTGGGAAGGGGGTGGGACCCCGGTCTGGAGGGGGGAGTGCTGCTGGCCTCAGCTGGGCCAGGTTTCACTTTCACTTTCTTGGCTTTCACTGACCTTGGGGGGTGGGGAAAACTCCCACCTCCCCGCCCCCCCGCCCCCCACCCCCAACTTCTCAGCGCACAGATGACTGTCCCCAACTGAGCTCCAAGTTGTAATAGCAAGAAATCAAAAGCCTCCTGGGGCAAATTTTGGGAAATTTCAGGAATTTTCTACCCAGCGGGTCCGGGTTGGCTTTGCCCGGGCAGGCTCTCGGCAGACCTCTGTGGGGGGTCGGAGGGGTGGGACTGCGGGTGTTGGGGGGTCCTGGCGGGAGGCGGGTGTGCCTGTTCCCTGCCCCTCCTTCCTGACTTACTGTTTATTTGGGACGTCTGGGTTAGGGCTACAGACAGTTCTGCTCTGTGTGTCCACCGCCTTGCAGAATGTGTGCTGGGCTGGCCGCAGAGGCACAAAGCTGCCCTTTCTTCGCTTGGGAACTGCAAGCCCCAGCCGGCCCGGGCGGCCACAGCACCAGCGCCAGTCTCCTGGGCCCTGGCCAGCCTGGGCTCACGTGGCGCCTGGCTGCTGGGCTCCCGCCCCCGGTTCTTAAAGTGGCAGAGCCCTGGGACAGCCAGTCCATGGCTGCCCACCACACCCCCCACATAGTGCAGGCCAGGGTCAACACTGGAGAAACCCTGATGTATGGGTCGCCGCCCACCTCACCCCCATTCTGATGGCATCGACTTAGGGTGCACCTGACTCCCCTAGGCCATAGTGAAGGACAGCTGGGCTTGGGACCCCCAACTATGCCTTGCTTCCAAGTGTGGAGTGTGCAGGGACCACTTAGTGGGGGTTGGGGGGCGGGGTTCCCCTTAAAAGGTCAACCCTGGCCCTCTCCAGCTGGGGTCCAGTTCTGCACGTTTAACAAGTTCCCAGAAAATGTGGCTGCTGCCGGTGCCCGGTTTCAATTCCAGAAGGCTCAGAGGTGCCAGGTTCCAGCTCTGAATGGTGACGGCGGAGCCTCTTGGGTGGCTTATGTGAAGCAGGGAGGAGAAAGACGGTCACTTTCTCCCCATCCGCCTCTGCCACCCGGGACCCAGGGTTACTGGGTTCTTGTCTCGCCTCGCAGAAAAGAATTTCAGGAATAGACAGCCAGTGAAGTAAAACAGATTTTATTTGGAGGCTTTGAAGGGAAGGAGGGAGAGAAAGTGTGTGTGTGTGTGTGTGTGTGTGTGTGTGTGTGTGTGTGTGTGTGTGAGAGAGAGAGAGAGAGAGAGAGAGAGAGAGAGAGAGAGAGAGTGAGAAGAGTAGTATGCTCTAGAGAGAACCCGGGCTTCTCCAAGGGTTGAGAGAGCCCCTACACACGTCCCAGCAGTAGACAGGAAAACATGAAAGGCCACATCTCAAGAGGGGAGATGCGGGTGACACATGTGTTTGGGCACCACATGTGCTCAACCACATGGGTACAAGCAACGCAAGGGCTCAGGCAGCATATGCATGCCCTTCCTTTGTTCAAGGTGACTTTTATAGAGTTTTTTTTTTTTCCAACCTGCCCCCTCACATGGGGCCTCTATCTAGGTAAAAGTCCGTTGCTAAGGAGGTTACCAAGAGGGCTAGGGTTGGGAGTGGTGATGGTCTTCTTTGAAATTCCTTTTCCTGGCCTTTTGTTCCTGCTGGAGCTTCTCTGGCAGGTAGGTGAAAGTCCTATCAGGCCTTAATTCCTGTTTTCTGCAAGGTTGGCTTTCGCAACCTCAGGGCTGTTGCTTCCCAGGAAACTGACTGCCATTGCCCTGGGAGGGGCCTTGCCTATCTGCCTGCCTGCCTACTTCATGATGTTTCCGGTTCTTGGGCAGGACTGAACAGCTGGAAGCAACCCACGTGCCCATCCGCCTAGGATGGAGCAAACAGTGCATCTGTACCCAGTGGAACATCATCTAGCTGGGCAACGTGACAGGGTTCCCAGGTGTCCCTGCTCCGCCAGGCAGTGGTGGTGTCTGCTTCCTTCCGGCCTGGCTCTCCATGACTGAACCTGCCGGTCCCTGAGGCAAGCCCGGGCCTGAGGCTCCTTTCCTGCCTTGGCCAGAGCCTCTATGCCCTCCCAGCTCCCTGCCAGGCCCTACTGGCCTCCTCCCTTTGGCTGACCGTGCCCCTACTCCTGTCATAGGTGTGACCCCCTGTCTCTCCTGGTTGCCTGGCCACCCCTGCCGCAGGGAATGCTTCTCCTTCACCTTCTGCCTTGGCAGCAGGAGGTCGTATCCATGGACTTGTCTCGGGTCCCAGTGGCTGTAGGGATGATGCAAGTGGTGGTGCCTCTGTACCCAACAGAGGGAAAGGGGAGCAAGGGCCAGGGAGAGGGCGATGGGGAGCCCAGACATGTAGTCTCCCAAGCACCCAGCCGGGAGAGAGCCCCAGCCCCTCTTTGGGTGTGAGCCCCAAACTAAATCAAACAAAAACCAGCAAAGGGAGGGAGGGAATTCTGGCGCTTGTGGCACCAGGACCCTTTGAAGACCTGATAAAGCAGGTGCCAGGGGATACACTTGGTCTGACGCCAGGTCTGTGGGAGCTCACAGAGACAAAATGGGGGTCCCCAATGACCCGAGGACAGGAGCATGGGGAGTGACTGTCCGCTGAGGGGTGAGGTTTTCTGGGTGGTAAAGTTTCACCACGTGAGGAACATCTTTCATGCCAAGAATTGTGCATTTGAAAAGGATTAACATAGTGGTGGGATGGAGCTGGTCTGCTTTGGGGCAGGGATTGGGGTTCAGTTTGGAAACATCCGAAATATGGTGGTGGGAAGGTGTAATGGTGGTGGTGGGATTGGTGTTTGAATATTCAATGTACTCAAATATTGTGAACTACTTTATAAAATTGGGAGACTTGTTGTTACTGTGTTTGGCATATTGAATACGTCATGGGTAGCTTGCCAGGCTTTGCCGTGCGGGCGAGATACACTTGGTAGCTTGCTGGGCTCTCCGAGAGGGGCGAAGGAATCAAACCCTGAGCCTGCTTGAGCAAATCGATGAACAACAGGAGGACAGGACAGGACAGACTTTATAAAATAAAAAAAAAAATTAAAAAAATAATAAAACAAAGTTTGCCAGCTACCTTCTGTGACACCCTAATCCATAACACCTTGGGGGTATGACATAAGGAGGGCTCATTCTTTCTTCCCACTGTCTCGAGGCTTTAGGCTTCAGATAGAGCTTCTAAGTTAAAGAGTATGATGAGGGGCTGGAGTGATAGTATAGCGGGTAGGAGCCAACCCAGGTTCGATTCCCAGCATCCCATATGGTCCCCTGAGCACTGCAGGAGTAATTCCTGAGTGTGAAGTCAGAAAGTAAAGCCTGAGTGTAAAGTCAGGAGTGTAAAGCCCCCGCGCCTCGCTGTCCTCACTGGGTCCCCTTGCAGGGGGAGCGGGTTGAGTTTCCCTCCCGCCCCGAGCAGAGCTCTGGCAGCTGAAGACCTCCAGAACCAGCCACCACCATGCTGAGACCACTCTCCACACGCGTGAAGGTACTGGCAGAGGAACAAAGGCATGCGGGTCCCGGGGCTGAGATCTCCAAGCCTGCTCGGATTGGGGCTGAGCATCCTCCACCCAGACCCTCCATCTTCCAGTAGGCAGGGGTCACAACCACCAACTGGCCCCCTGGCGCCGTGTAATCCAATCAATGGTTAAGACCCAGAGACTATAAAACCCAGCTCCCAGAAGCGACATCTTATTATCTCATTCTTACTTTGGACAACCTGGCAGGCTACCGAATGTAACCTGCCCACACGGCAGAGTCTAGCAAACTCCCCGTGGCGTACCCAATATGCCAAATACCAGTAACAATGATGGGTCTCATTCTCCTAACCCTGAAAGAGCCTTGAATATGGCACTTTAAAATCTCAGGACTAGGACGAAGGAGATGTTACTGGTGCCTGCTCGAGGCAATTGATGAACAACAGGATGATCGTGATCGTGATGGTGAAAATCAGGAGTAATCCCTATGCATCGCTGGGTGTGACCCAAAAAGCAAAACAAATAAATAAATTAAAAAAAAAATAAAGCGTATGATGAGCAGAGGTGCAAGGAATGCCAAGGAGAACTTAGAGATGTTATCTCCAGTGGGTGAGATGCAGCAAAATCAGCCCCCACGGGGATTAACAATATTCACACAGCGCCAGCAGATGCTTGGGAAGAGAAACCATTGCTTATGTCAAAAGAATCTAGAAGTATAATCAAGCTATTGTTTGCAATTGCTTCCCTAAAATGAGGCCCACTGAAAAAAAATTACAGTGGGTGACTATGGCATGCCAGCAGGTAATTGGAGCTGTTTAACGTTCAGAAAAGGAAGGCATGTGGAGCGAGTCAGCCAGGGAAGGAAACCGGAGTTCAAAGTGCTTTCCCCGGAGAGGTGCCTCCAGCTGAATTAGTTTCCAAACTGTGGGAGTGGCGCCTTTGCCAACGGGCGAGTCGGCCTCTCGCTGGCCTTGAGAGGTCTGTGAACTGGAAAATAAATCCTCTGCTGCTGCCAGGCTGAGTATGCAGGCCCGGCCCGAAACTCAAGGAGAAACCAGCTCCGTTTATTTTTATGCCAGTAAGAAACAAAACGCAAAATCCAAGAAAGAAAATATAGTTTTAGGCAGAACAGAGGCAAATTGAGTTTGAGGGGCCAGGGCCGTTGTATGACAGGGAGGACATCTGCCTTGCATGCAGCTGACCTGTCCACTAGGGCCCCTCCAGGTCACTGAGCAGGCCCTGGCTTCCGGCTCTCTGCTCTCTCCTGGCGAGACCGACCTCACCCCACTCTTAATTTCTGCAAACATCCCTTGGCATGCACCCCTCACTCACCCCTGCATGCACCCCTCTAGGTGCACCCCTGCACCATCTCTCTACATGCACCCCTGCAGGCATCCCTCTATCTACACTCTTGCATGCACACCCCTGCTTACGTCCCTCTGCACTCCACCCCTACACAGACACCTCTGCACACAGCCCTCTGCAACACACCCTTGCACACACACCAGCACCTACACCCCTGTACATACACACCCACACACGTGCACATATGTACACAGTCCTCTGCACACACAGCCTGGCCACACTCCCCTGCACACATATTCCTTCTACACACCCTGGCAATACATCCCTGCATGCACAGCCCTGCACACAGCCCTCTGCACACACCCCTGCCCTCCTCTTCTCTGTTCACCTCTCCCAGGAAAGAAGGGATGGAGATCGTGGAGCAGTGAGGTCTGTCTGATCTGACCCTCATGGTCAACAGGTGTGCAAACAGCCAAGCCTCGCGGCCCTGCAGGTTTCGGACTGAGAATCCTGGTACAGGATAAGCAAAAGTGAAGCCAGCGGTGTTATTTTCTACATCTGGTTGAGGGCAACGGAGGACAAGCAGAGGAACGCAGCAAAACGTTTGTTGCAGAAACAGACGTGCAACCTCCTAGCACTGTGTGCAGAGGGGGCACCTTGCTGACGTTTGGGAGGGGGACCCTTACCTCTGTGGAGGGAGAAACACTTGGATGACG